GAAAGAGTCCGGCGCCCCGACCGGGACTAGAACCCGGTGTGCCAGCGCCGCTAGGTGGAGGATTAGCCTATTGAGCTGCGGCGCCGGCTTCACATGCATTATTTATTCTAAATTTTCTCATATTGGACAAGGATGGTCATTCTGCAGCTGATCGACACTGGCATCCACAAACAGTGGTGAAAAGAGCAATGGTGAAATGGAGGGATCCTATCAACCATCAACGGAATGGACCTGATCCGGTACTGGTATGGGGACAAGGGCATGTTTCTGTTTTTTTCTCAAAAGGGTGATGTGGTGCGATGGCTGCCGGAGCGGTTGGTGCGACAGGTGGATATCCTCCCAGCGACGCCCCCTGACGATGCTCCTTGGGACGTTTGCTAACAATTGGAATCTTCCTGAAGACAAATGAATCCTGTCATTTATCCACAAACCAGGCCAATGTCGCTGTCTCTGTGGGCACTCCAGTGATTTTAAATTGTTCTTTGTGTATCCTAATGGGACTGGCCGAGCAGGGTTTGTGCAGTGGGTGCACAACAATCAAACTGTGTTTCGTGGTCGAAAAAACATAACCTGTGGGTGGTTCAATATGACCGATCAATAAAAGAGAAAAAATACTGATTTTAGTATAACAAAATTGGCCATTTTATCAGATGCAGGGGTATATTCTTGTCAAGTTTGAAAAAAGAGCTCCCCTAATGATGTCCTTAATGGAACTGTCAATGTAACTTTGTTAATACTTCTTTTTCTACTGATTCTAGCAATTTTTGGTTGCATTTGGCCGCAACAACTAACACTTCTCCCTTCTGTGTTAATACAGCTGATTCTCCTTCTTGTCTTCTTACCAATAATCTTTTAGGGATTCCCTCTTCTAGGGAGGAGTTTACTAATATAACAGGCCTCAATATAACTTCCCTTGAAATAGATAATGTTACTCGCTTATTATTTACTGTACCATGGCAACTCAACCGCACTAACTAGAGGGAATTTCATTTGTTGAGTGGGGCATGGGCTCCTAAGGGATGGGTTTTTTATGCAGCCAATATGCCTTTACATCGTTAGCCCCTGATGATTTCCGCAACTGCTCGCTGGGCTGTGTGGCCCCGATGCTGACATCCATAGTTCCAAAGACATGAAGGCGACGTTCATTGCCTGAGAACTGCAACAGCAACCTCATCCTGATAGGAGAGGACCCTGCCCTTGCCATGGCTGTATCAGTAGTCAGTGTTCCTGGTCTGGCTTTGTGGAAATAACCATGGACTGCGAAGGCTTGCATGTTTGGTGACCAAATCAATTAGTCTTACTGCTGCTGCATTATCCAGTCTGGCAGAAGAACTGGATCAAGTTCGCTCGGGAGCACTTTTAAATCGTGCCGCTATTGATTACTTATTGAAAGATCATATGGGCTGTGAATTTGTACCTGGGGGATGTTGTTTTAACATTACTAACAATGTGCCATATATAGAGTCTGTTATTGCTAAACTTAAGAGTTAAATGCAACATATGTTTATTACCCACTAACATTTGGAGGGTTTCAATGGATTCGTTGGTTACTAATGTTGGCTGGACCGCTACTGCTTTTCCTACTTTGTATGGGATGTTTTCCGTGTGTTCTGCAATTTCTGCTAACTTCGCTGCAGTCTGTATGGACTGAGATTCATCATTTAAAACTTCGTACCAAACCTCCTTTGCAATCAAAATAACTGATATTTGGCTGTATGTTTCATCTCTCACCTAATGTCAGGCTGGAATGGTACTCAATGATGGGTCAGACGCTCAGCATCCTGTACCAACCTAAGACAGGGCTCTAGGCCAAGCTGCCAGAGTTACCGATGACGGGTAAGGACAGAGATGACTGAGGGCAACCTAAGACAGAGGCCATTCTCAATTAAATAAAAAAGGGGGAGATGTAGGCAGCCCATAAACAAGTCATAGACAAGTCAAGGTCAGTCTTGGCTTGTGGAATTCCTGGGATGACAAAGTCCCCTACTCCCAAGTTGAAGGAGGACGATTAAACAAGAGCACTCTGCTAAAGTTAACTATGTTGTGACTGTGTTGCAGAAAGCCCGATAAGTTGCTTGCATGTGTTGTTAACCTCCGTGTTGCCTTGAGCTGCAGCTGGTTATGTATAAAATATCGCTGAGACGCTGGAATAAACGAGCCTTGATCAGCCTTGTTGTCCTGGCTCCATTTTCTGTGCCCTTGTCCCTCTTTTCATTCCCACACCCCCATTCAGGTTCCTTTCGACTGGTGTGGCTGGCCCGCACACATCTCCCTGCATCACTCTGTCTCTGTTCCCATTCATTCCGCAGCCTGCAGATAGAGTGGGTCTTTCTAAAAAAAATCTGTGGTCTCCTCCTCTGCCCATAATCCAAATAAAACTCCTCCAGTAGCTTCCTGCTGGCCTTAACATAGACCAAAGTACCAAAGCCTCAGTAGGGCTCACCCAACACCAGCCCTGTTCTGCAGCCTCTTCTCCCAGCGTCCCTTGCTCCCTGAACTCCTGCCAAGCATCTCAGCTGCTGCAGAAGCCAGGTGCCCTCCTGCTCCTGGGCACCACCTCACGTGCCCTGTCCAAAAAGCTGTGTCTCCTGGACTCCAACTCCTACCCGTGTTCCCAGAGCATGTGAGAACTTTAATTTTAGATCCCTCTGTAGGATTATGTGGTTACTGGTTTCTGCCTTAGCCCCTGAGATCCATACATCTCCATTGGGTCACCCATTGCCTAGTTTCCATTTATAAAACCTGGCAGAAAACAGGTGCTCAGTACAATTAGTTGAACATATTCTTTTTTTTTCTTTTTTCTTTTTGACAGGCAGAGTGGACAGTGAGAGAGAGAGACAGAGAGAAAGGTCTTCCTTTTTGCCGTTGGTTTACTCTCCAATGGCCGCCGCGGCCAGCGCGCTGCGGCCGGCGCACCGCGCTGATCCGATGGCAGGAGCCGGGTGCTTATCCTGGTCTCCCATGGAGTGCAGGGCCCAAGCACTTGGGCCACCCTCCGCTGCACTCCCTGGCCACAGCAGAGAGCTGGCCTGGAAGAGGGGCAACCGGGACAGAATCCGGTGCCCCGACCGGGACTAGAAACCGGTGTGCCGGGGCCGCAAGGCAGAGGATTAGCCTCATTAGCCACAGCGCATGGAGACAGAAGCCAGGCCCCAAATACCTCATACTACTTGATTCTACTTATATTAAATGCACAGAAAAAGCAAATCTACAGAGACAGAAAGTAGATTAATGAATGGTTGCCGGTGGCTAGGATGGGGAACAGGGAGTGGTTGTAACCTGGTGTGAGGGATTTTATTGAGGTGATGAAAGTATCTAATTGTACAACTCAGTAAATGTGCAAAAAATCATTGTGTTGTACATTTTATTTATTTTTTAAAGATTTTATTTATTTATTTGAGAGGTAGAGTTACAGACAGAGAGAGTGAGACAGAAAGGTCTTCCATTCGCTGGTTCACTCCCCAAACCCCACAAACAGCCAGAGCTGGGCCGATTCAAAGCCAGGAGCCAGGAGGTTCCTCCGGGTCTCCCACATGGGTGCAGGGGCCCAAGCACTTGGGCCATCTTCCACTGCATTCCCAGGCCATCAGCAGAGAGCTGGATATTCTAAGTGGAGCAGCAGGAGTGAACTGGCATCCACATGGGAGGCAGTACCTCAGGCGGAGGCTTAGCCTACCATGCCACAGCCCTGGCCCCTGTATTGTACATTTAAATGGGTGTTTTATGGCATGTAAATTGTACTTCAAAAAAGGTGTTCAAAAGTAAATATGGTTGGATAAATGAAAGAACATAGTTATTATAGAAAAAAGGCCCCTTACATTAAGTGTACCCATTTTCATTACATTTTTAAAAATTATTATTTGTGGGTATCTGGCTCAATACCTCACTATTCTTTTAAATGCATTTTCTGGATTTTAAATAACTAGGCTTTGTACATTATAATAGGTATCTCCATATACCTTTTTTTGAAAATATTTGTTGATTTATTTGAAAGTCAGAGTTACACAGAGAGAGGAGAGGCAGAGAGTTAGAGAGAGAGAGAGATAAAGAGAGAGACCTTCCATCTGCTGGTTCACTCCCCAAATGACTGAAATGGCCAGAGCTGAGCTGATTTGAAACCAAGAGACAGCAGCCTCTTCTGGGTCTTCCACGCAGGTGCAGGGACCCAAGGACTTGGGCCATCTTCTACTGCTTTCCCAGGCCATTGCAGAGAGCTGGATTGGAAGTGGAGCAGCCAGGACTCGAACCGGTGCCCATATGGGATGCCAGCACTGCAGGCGGCAGCTTTACCCACTACAACACAGCGCTGGCCCCTCCATATTCCTTTGAGTAAGGAGAAACAGGTACAAGGAGCTTCCCCTATGACATGAGCCAGCTTGTAGCAGATCTGGGATTTCCGAGAAGTCTGTATGTTAGGGATCAAGTGTCCTTGATATTTAAGGACATCTGTGACACTGACCTGGATACTTTATGACTGATCTGGATTCACTCTGGTTTCAGGAATAAGATGCTCTTTAGAATGGGAACGGTTTTAGAGGTTACTCTGAGTTTTTGGACTAACACCTTTAGCTCAAATGTTCCTAGAAAACAAAACCCTGGTTCCTCTCCAGGAGCTCCTGTTCCACAGAACCCTTCTGGAGCACTTGTCTGGATTTAGTTATGCTGACCTGGAAGCAGCCCTGAGGCAAGGATGTTCGTGCAGGTAGGAGCTTGGAGAGGGGCAGCAGGGAGGCCGTGGGGAGAGTGCTTCTGGGGATGAGCTACCAGGAGAGACAACGGTTCCCACTGTGGGCAGTCCTGGTGGAGAAGAGGCCCTGAGGGCTGGAACACTAACCTCCACGGGGGGTTTCTAGGGCTCTGGCACCTGCTGCTTGTCAGGTGAAACCAGCTGGCATCAGAGGTGGCCTGAGCGGCCTAACTCAGCACTGCCGTCGGTCCAGGGCGTCTTTCAAACGAGACTCGGTGACCAGTGGCCACACAATGACATTGACTCCCACTGCTGTTTTATATAAAGAGTTTTTATTAGTGAAACATTTCATTGCATCGAGAGGAGCAGGAAACAAGTCAATCAGATGAAATGAACCAGGTTCGTTGGCTACATGAAATGCGTTCTGATTAGTGTTCTCTTTCATAGGCACAGGCCACTTCCTGCAGTCTCCCTGCCCAGAAGGCCCCGTCTGGGGATCCCTGCTGCAGAACTCAGACCTCAAGCGATTTAAATTCAAACCAGCCCGCCCCTAAGTAAGAACCCCAATAGGGGTTAGTCATGAAGTACTTGTTCCACTTGACCCTTAGTGCTCTTTCTAGAACACGAGGCAAGAAAGTGTAGTGGGGAAAAATCTGAAGCTGAAAGTGACAAAGCCCACGTCCTGCCCTGTGCGCTGCTCCCAATGTTCCCTGAGAGGAGTGAGTGAGGCTCTCTGTCTCGGTTTCTCTGGAAGTTGGGTATCACAGGTTGGACCACCTGCATTCTGGGATCCTGACAATGCTGACAATGGGGGGGGGGGGGGTCTTTCCAGGATAATGGCTGCAAGAGAATGAGCACGAGGAAGAGTTTATTTTCAACCTAAAATCAAATTGGAACATTCATTCTTCTGAACCAAGTCAGAATTCTGACTTCAGTTTTTGGGTTTGTGGGGACTTTTTGGAAGGAAAGTAAATCAAATGTGATTGTAAGCCAAGTACCTATTCAGAATCAGACACAGACATGCCTGTGCGAAGTTCAGGCTCAGGGTGTGCACGATTCACTGCCATCCTCCACTGCTTTTACAAATGTCCCTTCTCGGACGGTTACATCCTGAACATAGGACTGAACCAATGAGCATGCACTGGTTTATCAATTTGATTAGCGTGGGTAAGTAGCGGCACGAGGAGTTAGGTATGGCAATTATCTCGTTAAATACTGATACATTCCAAAAATAATAGATGGTTAGCATTCCTGAAGACCAATTATTTTCAGTTTTGTTTTTCACATTTTGGCAATTCAGGGCATCTAAAAATCCTACCTTGATTTATCGAGAAGTCGAGAGTTGAATGAATTCACCCTTCAGGAAGGGTGACATGTCACATATTGCGTTAGTGTAGAGAAAGGGAAGACTGGACGTGCAAAGCTCAAGGGACCTTTACCTGCATAAAGGGAGAAGCAGCTATGAAGGCCAGGGCTTCCTCTTTCATTTGCTTACACTGAAATCCAGTCTTAAACAAAGACGCTTCAAGAATGATTCAGTTGTTAAGGAATTCTGTAAGCACTGCGCCAGGTAACTATACCGGCTTCTCAATTAAAAATGAGTGGTGACTCCTGACAATCAAAATGCCCTGCGATCTGCTTGAATGCTTAACACTGTGGTGTATGGTGGAGCCCAGCCCTCCGGCTGAGGCCACACCGAAAGCCAAGGAGACTGCTGAGTTCTGCTTCTGTTCCCAGAAGACCTTTCCTTCCAGGACTTTCATGCAATATTTTCAAGCCGCATCATGCTGTCGGCAGAATGATTGTCATGGGAAGTATAGGGCACGCTTTCCTCTATTCAGTGACAGCAAGTCCAAAAACACTGGAAGAAACTCGATCTGAGGAAAGAACGGATTTAAAAAACTATTTCAAAGCTACCAAGAAGCCTTGCCCAGAAGATATGTCGCTCTGGTCTAGTGAGACTTCCAGAAAGTTCCGTGTAACTCAGTCTTTGGGTGGATGGATTTCCTATATTCCAATTTTACAAATAATCACTCACTAGTACTGGGAAGTACTCAATACAATTGCAGCTAACACAGAAGCACGGTTGGCAGGTGACTGGGGAAGTTACTGATTGCATTCTCCCAGAAGCATCTTCCTACATCAAGATCACTGTGACTAAAACCACGCCACTTAACTGTCCACAAGCGCTGTAACTAGCAGGTAGCCCTACTCTACACGAAACAGCTGTACTCATCATCCCCCGCATTACTTAGGCATCACTCACACAGCAGAAAGCAGGTGCGTTAGAATAGTGATTTGGATGAGGCTACCAGTGTACCCTGGGTTCCAAACTCTTATTTACTTCAGTTTTGGGAGTGAAATGGAGGAATAGAACACAAAATGGTACATATGGATTTTGAGCCCCAAGTTTGGTAAATGAAGCATACTGAGTAAGGTTAGACCAAGCAGCATGAACAAGTGGTGCAGAAACAGTAAATCCACAGCAGTGCTCACGGAGTTCTGGAGCTACCAGCACCCAACGACAACAAAAAACTAAAGGAGCCCGTTAAATACCTGCTAGACACATGAGAAAACAATTTCAGAGCGCGTGATTTTATGAAGCACAATGGCCAGCATTGTCAGCCCGTCTGTCCATCAGCCTCTGGCCAGAATGCTCGCAACACCTGCCGGCACGGCGTCTTCCCTCCCTTCCCCAGGCCACAGCCCGTGAGGACGCGGAGGCCGTGCCCAGCTGTGGTCTAGGTCAGGACCACGCAGGCTGGGTGCCTTCTCCAAGCTCAGCGATAGTCCCCGTCCACTTAGGTTCTTATGAGAGGCGCTCTTTCATCCGCCGTTCCCTGAGACAGAGAGGCAAACACGCAGGGAATCAGATGTTGATGGCACAGGCTTCTCCCCCAGGTGTGAAAAGCTGGGGCAGGGATGGAGGCTGAGGACGGTGGGAGGAGAGACTGACAGGAGGGAGGCTTGCTCCCCTCCTCTCTTCCCTTCCTTCCCCTCTGTCCTCTCTCCTCTCCCCTTTCCCCTCCCCTCCCCTCTCCCAGCACCTTATTCTTTAAGACTCAGCCCTGACCTCCTCCAGGAGGCCCTCTCTGACCACCCCCTTGCCCCATGCCCCAGCAGCGCCTGTCTCTGCGCTGGCCCAGGTCCCCCCTCCCTGCTCTCACACCTACTAGGGAATGGCGTCTCAGAGGCGGTAGGTCCTCAATAATGACTTGCAGAACCCCTGAAGATGGCTAACTGCGGGTGAGATAATTCACACCTTCCTGCTTCCCTTGGGGTCTGGCAGTAATGCAACCACAAAATCACCGTGCCCAGCAAAACCCCCCAGAATCCATCCTCACGCCCGGCTGACAGCCCTTCAAGGAAGCACAGCTGAGGCACTGCCCAGGTAAAGTCACACATAAGGGAGAGGTTCCTTCAGCCGGTACTCACCTCATCCATCGACCCCTGTCCTCGGCACGCAAGCCAGGTGAAGACCAAACCCAGGAGCACACCCAGGGCCATGATGATGTAGGGGATGTTGGTGATAATCATAGTCGTGTTAATCACAGACTTGAGTCGACTTGCAGACTCTTTGTCAAGGAGAACACTCTGGAGGGGCAAGAAGACAGGGTTCCCTTGGAGACCGTGGTCCAGGCTGCAATGGTTTTTTTCTCTTTTTTTTGCTACACCTTTCTTTCAAATCATTAGTCACAATCTGCATGTGCCCTTCCCTTACGCACTGAGTATCGGGGGCATCTATTCATCCATCTCTTTTTTTTTCTAAAGATATTGATTTCTCTTAACACAGGTTGGAAAAAGGAGGGGGGAAGTACACAAAAATACCGATAATATCATCTTCTGTTTTGTATTACACAATCCCAACTCATCCTTCAGCCCGGTTGAAGGCCCCTCGCTAAGCTTCCATCTCACTCGGCATCACCTGTGGATCTCCCAGTGACTGAGGTCAGCCACCTCCACGCTGGGAATAGCACTCAGCACCCAGCACCCAGCTCAATGACTGTCCAGCTATCAGAACGAATGAGTGAAACTTGCAAAAAAAAAAATGGTCGGTAGGCAGGCGGTTGGCCTACTAGTTAAGACACCTGTGTGCCATATCGGAGTGCCTGGGTTCAAGTCCCAGCTCCACTCCCAGCCGTCTTCTATTACAGACACTGAGAGGCAGCAGGTGATGGGTCAAGTACTCATCCACGGGTGAGGCCTGGATTGAGTTCCTACCTCCTGGCTTCAGTCTGGCCCAGCCCCGGCCATTGTAGGCATTTTGAGAGTGAACCAGAGGGTAGGAAGTCAATCTTTCTCTCTCTCTTTTTCTCTGTCTCTCAATTTTCTTTAAATGGTGTATAAATATATAAATGTTCTCTTGGATCCATTATGAAAGTATGCCTTTTCTCTTGGTTACAGCTATGGTAATGAGGGCCAGCAAGTGTCGAGGAAGCTGTGGGACAAGGGAGAACTCGGGGGTGCTGACAACTAAGGAAGTGTCCTGGAACAACACTTGCTGCATCCAGAGCCCAGGGATCATCACCCCCGCAACCTAGGTAAGGGATCTGAGGGATTTCTTTCCATAAAACTGCAGGCAACAATTCCTCATCGGCTTAGGCTTCATTTTCACTGCACTGAGCCGCAGGTCTGGGCTCTTGGGCAGCTCTTGCAATAATGGGCCGGGGCCCCACCGGCTCAGTTTCCTCCTCAGTCCAAAGGCAGAGGGGAAGCCTCTCTCTTCCTAGAGGAGGAAAATCAAACTCTTTCCAGGAGGCAGCCAAGGCACAAGGCTTCACTCCCTGGCCCTGCACTCAATCTACTTTTCAACGAAGATGTGAAGCAAAAGTTGCGAGAGGAGCCCTCCACTGAGCAAGGGCTACAGACACAAGCAGGCAGGAAAGGGGCCTTGTGCATCTTCAGGGACTCTCATTTACATTCCCGCCCCACACCCCACACCCCACACAAGGGTCCCTCTAAAAATTCACGGCCAGTGTAATCAAAAGAGACGTTTATTTGGGTGCAAAACGTCTTGCAATTTCTGTGAACTTTTTGAAGACCTTGTGTAAGGACAGCCCGGAAGTAATAACAAGCAGGTCCCAGAAATTGGCAAGTGCATGAGCAGGCAGCAGAAGTGGAGTAGCCAGGACTCAAACCAGCCACTCCAATATGGGATGCAGGTGTCCCAAGCAGCAACTTAACCCTATACCAAATGCTCGCCTCTGTCGCCTGCATAAGTAAATAAACACAAAAACTTTTTAAAATAAACTTTTCCCTCTTTTTTAATAAATTCAGTTAGGCAGAGCTACAAGAGCAGATGTCACAGTGGAAGTTTTCCAGGCTGGGACAGCTAAAGCATACAGGTGTCTCCCACTGGGAGGACTTACCTCGTTGAGATACATCACTGGGAAAACCATGGTTCTGATGTCCCCTGTTTCACTACAAAGACAAAGAGTGAGATTATTTCATAGACAACCTTGTCCTGGCACACTTACCCGGAGGGACACCTGTGTATGGAAACTACAGCGCATTTACTTCATTAAATTACCTGGAATCCACTGCAGGCTTCTTCGCTATCTTTGCAACTACATATAAATTGGAAGTCAATGGAAGCCTAGCAGTGCACATACTGCTCATTTATTATGTAGTGTTTTTATCAAAACAGTGGATACTGAAAGCAAATTCTTCTCCCCAGAGTGAGCACAGGGAAGACCACAGCCAGCTCAACAATGCTGCATTCAATCTCAGAATGTTCTAGAATTAGGCGGTGTACCAGCTGTCTTCAGAACAAGGGCCAGTGAGGGCTGACCACGTGTCAGCCCAGCCCTGAGTGTTTGGAGACATTACCACATTCAATTCTTTTATTATTTATTTTTTTATTTTTTGACAGGCAGAGTGGACAGTGAGAGAGAGAGAGACAGAGAGAAAGGTCTTCCTTTTGCCGTTGGTTCACCCTCCCATGGCCGCCGCGGCCGGTGCGCTGCAGCCGGCGCACCGCACTGATCAATGGCAGGAGCCAGGTACTTATCCTGGTCTCCCATGGGGTGCAGGGCCCAAGCACTTGGGCCATCCTCCACTGCACTCCCTGGCCACAGCAGAGAGCTGGCCTGGAAGAGGGGCAACCAGGACAGAATCCGGCACCCCGACCGGGACTAGAACCCGGTGTGCCGGCGCTGCAAGGCGGAGGATTAGCCTAGTGAGCCACGGCGCTGGCCAACACATTCAATTCTTACAGCAGTCACATACAGTAAGTACTAGGTTTTTTGGGGCAAAAATGTTGAATTCCACACATAGGTTTTTTCATCATATATATTCCCCATGAACTCTTTGAAGGCCTTTTATACTATCTGAGAAGCTGGCAAAAGGGATTCTTACAAACCACTTTTGCTTCTTAGAAAGGTCCATGACACGAAGGGTTAAATCTGGCCCATTCCATTAGCAAAAGAGGCCACTTTTCATTGACTGGCAGATAGCTAGCGGATATTATATATAGTTTTGCATCTTGTTCTTTTTTTTATTCAACATTGTAGTTTCCAGAAGATTCCCACTGCAGAGTCTGAGCGGGCTGAAGACGGAGCGGAAGAGGAAAGGATGGATTCAAGAGCCTGTTTTCCTTGCCCAAACGAGGGCTTGTTGCTGGCGCCGGGGAGGACCCGAGAGCAGAGAGCAGGAGAGGCAGCCAGAGTCCAGTGGGTGAGGGGACTGCTCAGTGGCATCCACGCAACCCAACTTCCTGTATGAGTCCCAGAACATCACTTACACTCTGTGCCTCACTTTCCTCATCTGCAAAATGGGTTAGTGCCAATTCCAAGTTATTGCATGGAAAGTGCTTAGAACAGTGCCTGAGCCATGGAGAGCGCCTGCAGTGCTTGATTAAATAAAACAAGGGAATGCAAGACCTGGGCAGCCATGGCAGAGCGGATCATGCCCTGGCCCTGAAGGGCAGTGGGGGCAGAGTTCAAGCGGGCTGTGGCTCCTCTCCTACAGCAACCCACGGGAAAGCCACCGTAGCAAGCTACTCTCCGCCTCCATAGAGAGAAGTGGAACTTACAGGAAGTCATCTAATTTCTTGACATAAACGTTGATCTGGAACCTCTTGGCTGCTCGTAGGATAATTCCAGTCAACTGCAAATCAGAGACATGAGAAGAAAACGTCAGGACTGATCGAACTGCAAACAGAACTTCACTGGGGCACGCTTTCTGTGTGGTCCTGACAAACGGGGGCCATGACCGTGACTGATGGGCAGAGCGGGACAGGAAAGCAGATCCTCAGAACAGAAGGAGAACTATGGGTTGGCTTGGGTAGAGCAAGGCTTCTCGAACTTCAATATGGACGTCAGTCCTTGGGAAGCCTCATAAAATGCAGACTTGGATTCGGGTTCAGATTTGGACTAACAAGCTCCCAGGAGCCTGCCACTTTGAGTAGCCAAGTCCCAAGGACTCCAGCCAGATGGGGGTGCCGTAGCTGCCTGCTGGGTCTGGATCTGCAGGCAGCTGTCTGTCAGAGGGCCAGGAGGAGGAGGGCAGTCTCTGCTGGAGAATGAAGCCCAAGTCCGGGGCCCACCCACAGAGCCCACGCGAGGCTGCAGCACTGTCTCCCGGGGCCAGCTCCACCCAGCCCTAAGATTAGGCACTGTGCTTTCTCCTGGTGACAAGCACCACTCACACTCTGGATGAAAGGGCACTGACCGATGGCTACGAGAAAAAAGGGAGCAAGCCACAGCTGACCTCATTGGCCGAAGGGTAAGATTCCAGGTTTCTCAGATACAACAGCCAGGAGTGTGGCCATGACTGAAGCGCCCCGTGCAGCGTGGTGTTGAAAAAATGCTCTCATACTGCTTTAGCGTTCCTTGGTGCCCAGAGCCTCAAGAACCAAGTATCTTAGCTCTGGTCAAGGTTCGACAGTGACAGGCTCTCCCGGTACCCACATCCTGGAAGTATGGTCTTAGTTTTCTCCTCTATGAGTGCAGGGTTAAAGTGGATGTATGGGGCCCGCACTTGGTGTAGTAGGTAAAGCCACCGCCTGCGATGCTGGCATCCCATGTGGGCGCCGGTTCGAACCCCAGCTGCACCACTTCTGATCCAGCTCCCTGCCATGGCCTGGGAAAAGCAGCAGAAGATGACCCAAGTCCTTGGGCCCCTGCACCCACATGGGAGACCTGGAAGAAGCTCCTGGCTCCTGGCTCCTGGCTTCGGCCTGGCACAGCCCTGCCTGTTGCAGCCGGAGGATGGAAGATCAATTTCTCTCTCTTTCTCTCTTTCCCTCCCTTTTAAATAAATCTTTAAAAATAAATAAATAAATACAGAAATAAACAAAGTGGATGTATCTTATACTTTTAAAATTAGTAAGATCTTGGGGGCCGGCGCTGTGGCGCAGCAGGCTAACGCCCTGGCCTGAAGCGTCGGCATCCCATATGGACGCCGGTTCTAGTCCCGGCTGCTCCTCTTCTGATCCAGCTCTCTGCTATGGCCCGGGAGGGCAGTGGAAGATGGTCCAAATGCTTGGGCCCCTGTACCCACGTGGGAGACCAGGAGGAAGCTCCTGGCTCCTGGTTTTGGATTGGCGCAGCTCCAGCCGTTGCGGCCAATTGGGGAGACCTCTCTCTCTGTCTCTCCTTCTCTCTCTCTCTAACTCTCACTTTGAAATAAAAAAATAAATAAATCTTTTTTAAAAAGAGAATAATACAGCTGTTCCTTTAAAAAAATTAGTAAGATCCTGCAGTAAACTGTCAAAGATACCTGTAGAGGGGTTTGCTGAAAGTGATGGAAACTCATTTACATATGGAAATTTACACACCTACTTTCCCATGTGTTAATTTACATATTTAAATTTCCATGTGTAAATTTAAATTGTCCTGGTGGAGAGACAGCAGGAGGGGTCTCCTGCACCTTAGGCGTCTGTGCCCTGTGGGAGCAACATGAGTGTGCACAGGGTGGGCCGCACAAGTCTGAGTGGGTTACGTGGCTCAGTCTCAGGGGTCTTCAGGGACTGCACTCCCACAGCTGTATTTCTGCATATGAGGTCCCCAGCACTGTACTGAGACTGTACCTCAACTTGCACTGAGCTGTTTGCCCCCCGTGAACACGTCTATGCAAGGTGGATAGCGCGCTTCTTAGGTGTGCTCAGGGCTGTACTAGCGAGCACTACGCAGAGAGAATGGAACACAGGCTCCTGGCGGGGAGGGGTGTGTACTCACGGGATTAATGTCCACAAAGGTCTCGTGGTCTTCCTTGTTTGGATGCATGCCTCCTATGGCAGAAACAAACCTCTCATCTGCTTGGTAAAAGTGTGGGAAAGACATGATGATGGGAGCACCTGCAGTTCAGGAAAAACAGAAATGAATGATGGTATCCTTAAAGTCTAACATGAACACAAACTTCCTGCCCACATACCTCGTTCCTAAAGGGGAAAAAACATATATACACATAAATAAAAGTGTGTGGGGGCCGGCGCCGTGGCTCAATAGGCTAATCCTCCACCTTGCGGCGCCGGCACACCGGGTTCTAGTCCCGGTTGGGGCGCCGGATTCTGTCCCGGTTGCCCCTCTTCCAGGCCAGCTCTCTGCTATGGCCAGGGAGTGCAGTGGAGGATGGCCCAGGTGCTTGGGCCCTGCACCCCATGGGAGACCAGGAAAAGCACCTGGCTCCTGGCTCCTGCCAGGATCAGCGCGGTGCGCCGGCTGCAGCGGCGGCCATTGGAGGGTGAACCAACGGCAAAAGGAAGACCTTTCTCTCTGTCTCTCTCTCTCACTGTCCACTCTGCCTGTCAAAAAAAAAAAAAAAAAAAAAAAAAAAAAAAGTGTGTGGGGGAAACGGAGCCGCGGGTTAAGCTGCTGCCTGCAACCCTGGCATCCCATGTGGGCGCCTATCGAGGTCTGGCTGCTCCACTTCCAATCCGGCTGCCTGCTGATGGCCTGGGAAAGCAGTGGAGGATGGACCAAGCATTTGGGTCAGTTTATGCCTGTGGGAAACCTGGAAGAAGCTCCTGGCTCCTGGCTTGGGCCTGGCCCAGCCCTGGCCATTGCAGCCACTTCGGGGAGTGAACCAGAGGCTGGAATATCTGTCTCCCTCTCTGTCTCTCCTTCTCTATTTCTGTAACTCTGCCTTTGAAATGAATAAAATAAATTTGTAAATAGATAAATAAACAGAGAGGGAGGAGGGGATACCATCCCGTATCTCCTGGCTCAGAATTTATATTTTATTTCCTGAGCTCATTTGTCCCCGTATTACTTAATTTCACATTGCGTACTGAAGTCCTGGCTAAATTATTCACTCTTCAACAAACATTTAGTGAACGTGGAAAGTGCTTTGTGGACATCATTTTAACAAGGCCACCCACAGCCCTGTGAAGGTCTAACTGTTACCCTCACTTTGCATTTGGGGAGGGTCCCAGAAGTTACACCACCGGCCCAGGGACAGGACACCCGGCGGTCAGGCCCTGGAGGCCGAATGGGAACTGAAGGAGCACACGTTCCCTCTACCCTTCTCTGCAGTGAAGGTGCTGTCTTCTCTGCTTTGTGCTTCATTCTACTTTTTCAGTTGTTTTAGCAAAGGGCCTTGTTCTCCTGGATGTGGACGCAGAACCCTTCCAGAGCTGCTCTCTGGCTGTGCCCTACGCCCAGCCTCTGACCAGCCCAAGGCTGGCCCACACGAGCACTGTGGGCTTTTCTCCCTTTCCTGTCCATTGCAAGAACCAAGAGGGAAACAAGTTATTACAGCATATCTGTGCCAGACCTGGCTACTGAAAAGGAAACAGGGACCCAGCAGTGCTGCCAGGGAGATGTATTTTTGGAGAAAGGAGCTTACTGGGAAATAATTCAAATTTGCTTGTACAACCACCAGCCCATGGCCCAAGGCATGCACCATATCTCACACTGCAAGTGCTTGGCCTGTCACTGCTGAACAGCTTTTTAAAAAGATTTTTATTTACTTATTTGAGTGGTAAAGTTAGAGAGAGAGAGAGAGAGAGAGAGAGAGAGAGAGAGAGAGAAAAAAGGCTTTCATTCGCTGGTTCACTCCCCAAATGGCTGCATTGGCTGGAGCTGAGCCAACCCGAAGCCAGAAGCCAGGAGCTTCCTATGGGTCTCCTACGCGGGTGCAGGGGTCCAAGTACTTGGGCCATCTTCTACTGTTTTCCCAGGCCATAAGCAGGAAGCTGGATTGGAAGAGGAGCAGCCGGGACTTGAACCGATGCCCATATGGGATGCTGGTGCCATAGGTGGAGGCTTAGCCTACCCCAACGCAGCGCCAACCCTGCTGAGCAGTTCTGATATGGGATCAGGTAGCTGGCTGAGCTGGAGCCACAGACCTCAAGGCCCTGCCCCTGGCATTCCATCCTATCTGAGTGTCAGAACACCCCTCTCCCAGGATGCCCCATTTTCATCAGGCCCTGGGGAAGGGTCGCCATGTAAATATGTGTATTAAGCTCCTCTGGAATTTATGGAGGTGTCATAAATCTCCCAGGTGCCCACACTACCTCATAAAAGGAGGTGCTAGGAGGTGCTCGCTCTCTTCCAAGGAGCCAAGGACGAGAGAAGGTGCTGAGGGCTGAGGGCGTCCCCTGCCCCGACCCCTTTCTCTCTCTGGCCCACTCAAACTGTGCCCACATGTATGTGTGTCTGCTTTCTTACCTTATAAATAAACTGTATCATTTTGTGCCCCACATATGTATCTGTGCTTAGACTGCTTTTTAAGCAACAGGCAGGACCTGCATTAACAAATTAGATCCCACTTCTCCCACATCAGTTCCGCACCACCATGATTTCTCTATGTGACCTGCAGTGACCTTTAAAGTATATTTTTAAATATCTATGTGTATACTTCAAGAGATTCATGGAAGAACAGAATTAAAAGATAAATTAACTTTGGTGCAAAAAAAATTGAATCCATGCAGAGTTCTTTTGTAATGTGTGTTTTCTAAAAACTTTTCAAAGCTCCATCTACATCTGGATTTCAAAAATTTTTGCTCCAAAATAAAACTTACCTTTCAACTCTCTTTTTTTGTGAATTTTTTTGAAATACCCACGTGCCTCCGTAGTAAGGGCTGGATCCCGTCCTGAGTGTTTGACATATGCTATTTCTGACCCTCACACAAAAGTCATAATCACCTTCACTTTATAGGTGGGAAAGCTTGGCCAATTTGCCAACAAACAGAATAGGGCTCACTTCCAGATCTGCCCGACTCCAGGACACCCATTCATCCACTACCCAGAATGCACCCCTGGAAGCCTCCTCTGAACTCAGAACCCTCGAGGGTAATCCTGGGCACTTGAACTTCGCAGTCCAGATGTGGAGACACCTGTGAGGCCCGAGAACAAGGAACATATCCAGAGGTTTGAGCGTTGCAAAGCAGACTCTCCGCTGTTCTGACCTCACCCTCTTGAGGAAGCAGAATATGAACGAAACAGCAAGAAAAGTCCATCTACAGCTGTGCCTGCAGCCGGCACCCATCACCCAGGAAGCCGCTGGGTGAGCTCAGAGCCAGGGACTGGTCCACACTCACTCCTGCTCTCTGCCTCCAGGGAAGGGGTACCACAGTGGTCACCACGACTGAGGCACCTTCTTCATGGGGATCACCTGGACACGTGTTAGGAGGATAAACTCTGGGGTCCCCTGTTCAGAATGGGGCTGGGGGACATACACTTTTAATAATGCTCCAAGGAATTTTGATGCAGGGCCAAGTTTGGGGGTCACCGCCCTGTCAGAGAAGGACCAAGGGGCAAAGTTCACACATCGCTGTATGCAGAGGAGGGGACCTTTCTTCAGAGGAGGGGTCACACCGAGGGATAGCTCGCAGGAGAAACTGGCATTAGAGCCTGAGCACAAACAGGAGCAGGCTGAGTTCCAGCAGGGATCGGCTGGAGGGGAGGGTTTCAGAAAGATCGGCTCCCACCTTGAGTCCTGACTTACTTGAGAGGCAGAGTTACAGACAGACAGAGGGAGAGGGTGAGGGAGAGAGAGGGCTTCCATCCGCTGGTTCACTCCCCAGATGGCTGCAATGGCCAGAGCTGCGCTGACTGCCACAGTTAGAAAGACAGGCCACTGAATGCCTTTCTTATAAGGCTGCTGTGAGCAATTCTGCAGCCTAGGACCATCACAACCAGGAAAATCCATCTGCCAGCTGTACCGGTGACAGCTCGGCCTCACTCACGGACACAGGGGCGGAGCAGCTCCGAGGCTAAGGAACACGGGGAAACCGTGGCCAGTTCTAAAACGAACTCTGCTTCACCATCACTGAGAACCTTTGCCACCACAGGGACTCTCAGGGGCCAGCACTGTGGCGTAGCAGGTAAAGCCGGTGCCTGTGACTCTGGTATCCCATGGGGCACTAGTTCGAGACCCAGCTGCTCCACTTCCAACCTAGCTCCCTGCTAATGCGCCTGGGAAAGCAGTGGAGGATGGCTCAAGTGCTTGGGCCCCTGTACCCATGTGGGAGACCCGAAGGAAGCTCTTGGCTCCTGGCTTCAGCCTGGCCCAGCCACAGCCATTGTGGCCACTGAGGGAGTGAACCAGCGGATAGAAGTTTTCTCTCTCTCTCTGTGACTCTGTCTTTCAAATACATAAAAAATTAAATCTTTAAAAGAAAAGATAGGGACTTATTTATTTAATTTTTAAAGATTTATTTATTTGAAAGGCAGGGTTGCAGAGAGGCAGAGGCAGAAGCAGAGAGAGAGAGAGAGAGAGAGAGGGAGGATAGAGGGAGGGAGAGAAAGGTCATCCATCCCCTGGTCCACACTCCCAAAATGGCCCCAATGGCTAGAGCTGTGCCAATCTGAAGCCAGGAGCCAGGAGCTTCCTCCAGGTCTCCCACACAAGAGCAGGAGCCGAAGGACTTGGATCATCTTCCACTGCTTTCCCAGGTCATAGCAGAGAGCTGGATTGGATATGGAGCAGCCAGGACTCGAACCAGCACCCGAATGGGATACCGGCACTGCAGGCAGCAGCTTTTCCCGCTATGCCACAGTGCCGCCCTGATAGGGACTTTTTTTAAAGGTGAGTTGTCCAGTGTTTCCTCGCAGCGTGGCTTGGAATGTGAACGCGTTCAGTGCCTCACATGTATTAACCACGTGTACTACTTCGTAAAGAGAACACCACGTGCCCAGTGACACCTCACAGTCACACACAGTCACGGCCTTGCGACTATCAAGTCTTCTAACACCACAACACGGCACTCTTGATTCAAAGTGCATTACGGAAAAGCCAACCTTCTCCTTTTTTTTCCTCTTTTGCACAGGCAGAGTTAGACAGTGAGAGGGAGACAGAGAAAGGCCTTCCTTCCGTTGGTTCACCACCCCAAATGGCCGCTACAGCTGGCGCTGCGCTGATCCGAAGCCAAGTGCCAGGCACTTCCTCCTGGTCTCCCGGGCCGGTGCAGGGCCCAAGCATTTGGGCCATCCTCCACTGCACTCCCGGGCCACAGCAGAGAGCTGGACTGGAAGAGGGGCAACCAGGACAGAATCCGGAGCCCCAACCGGGACTAGAACCCGGGTTACCAGCACCACAGGTGGAGGATTAGCCTAGTGAGCCACGGCGCCGGCCTAACCTTCTCCTCTTGATAGCCATGCTATGAAAGCTGACTCCGGAACAAAGTCCGAACGCCCCTTTCCATGGCACTGACCATGCCTACTGCTCGTGCGCCCCCACGCCCGGGTCCCTCTCTGAGCGCTCACCGTCCTTGCAGATGCTGGCGTTGAGCACGCCCGAGCCCAGGCAGTTTCCCTGCGGGAGACAGAAGCCGGCGTTCTCGGAGGTGTTGGCTAATATTTCTGCGGGCAACTTGTACCGGAGGGCAGGCACTCCCTGGACACTCTCGAAGCCGCTGAAAGTGATGTACACCGACCTGTGAGGGTGCGAGGAGAAACCGTCAGCGCAGGCTCCCTGCGGCAGAGCCAGCCCCCAGACGGGCAGGCGACGGCAGCTGTCGGGGCCGTCTGGGGTACGCGCACTCTCCCGGCTCAATCAAGCAGGAGATGGGTGGTCCTGGAAGACGTGTAAGAGGTAGCCACTGTGGCAGTGCCCCAACAAGGCCAAGAAAAAGCAGAACGGGTGGAAAGTAACTTTGGAATGATGACACATTAAAAAAAGAGGGAGCGAGCCCAAGCATTCCAATAGAGGATTCTGCATTTTAAGAGGTGTCTTAACCACGGCACCAAATGCCTGCCCCAAGTTTTCTTCTTTGAACCAGACGTGTGGGTGCGTCTCTCGTACAACAAACAATGGACGTGGGAGCTGCCTTCTGTTACACACCCCACCCTGATAGCCTTTAGTTCTCTTTTCTCAGATTTACTTCTTGATTTGAAAGGCAGAATTACAGAGAGGGGAGAGACAGGGGTGGGTGGGGGAGGAGGAGGGGAGAGAGAGAGAGAAAGATTGAAATCTTCTATCTGCTGGTTCACTCCCCACATGGCCTCAAAGACCAGAATTCTATCCAGGCCTCGGCCATGGGTAGCAGGGGCCCAAGCACTCAGGCAGTTCCGATGTTCTCCCAGGCACGTTAGCAGGGAGCCCACTCAGAAGCAAAGCCGTTCAGACTTGACCCCGCACTCATGTGTGATGTCTGCACTGCAGGCAGTGGCTCAACCCACTACACCACAATACTGGTCCCAGTATGTTCTTAATAAAATGTTCCAGACAAACAGGAAGATAGAGAAAAAATATTTTAACAATGCCTCTGTACCCTCCATCAAATGAATAATAAAAAAAATATGTTACAGACCCAAACAGAGCTCTCCTTACAGTGCTCCTGGTTTCATTCTTTCTCTCTCTGCCTGAGGAAAAGTGTGCTTCATCCCCTTGCGGCCTATATACCTTCACACATACATCCATAAATAAGCAACGTGTGGCACCGCTTGCTGTTTTAAACATGCAGGCAGCAAACCATATCGCTTTCTGTGACTTGCTTCTCCACTCAGCATTACACTTAATGTTTACTACATTAATGTGCACAGCTCTCGTTCTGATTTTAAGTCCTAGGTGCTATTGCAACATGTGAGTGTACTACAATTTACTATATTCTCCTTTATGGAGGCATTTGGGTTGCTTCCAGTTTGTCAGCATGACAAACAGCGTTGCAGTGGGTGTTTCCCTGTTGGTTCCCTTGCATGCACATGACACACAGAGCGCTGAGGCTGGGAGCCCACCTGTGCAGGACTGCAGCGGTCTCTGGCTCTCCCAACAGCGCCATGTGGCTCTTGCAAGTGTTTATGCCACACAGGAAAGTCTTCCCTCCGTGCCAAATTTTAAAAACTTCCCATGGCCCTTCTGAGTTGCACTCATTGCACTCAATACACTTTCTCTCCCTTTAGGCCTGTGATAAACATGTCCCAGCTGAGCCGCTGGCTGGAGGGAAGGGGGACGCACCCTGTGCCGGCTGAAAGGGGTTGCTGCAGTGCACGGACAGCCACCCGAGAGGTGGCACGAGTTCCAGCACCAGAAGGGAGGGACAGCACTTGGTGACTGAATAAATCCAAGAGGAGGGAGACTGGGGGGCGGGGGAGGCACTGACGTCTCTGGCATGACTGTCAGGGTGGCAGGTGCAATTAGACACAAGATCCTGGAGGAGTGAGGATGCGAACCAGTGCTGACAAGTGCCACTAAGTGCCTGGGCGGCAGAGCCGCAGAAGGAGCCTGCGGGCGTGGGTGGCTGTGTGGGCCTGGTGGCTCCTGCCACAGTTTGCTGGGGGAAGGCGGGAGAAGGAGCAGACCGGCCACACGGAGACTTAGTCCGCTGCACTGGGAGGGAAGGGAAGGCAGGAGCGGGGAGTGAGAGTGGACACGATGAGCTGCAAGGTTATAGCTACACAAACCTCTATACACTCTGCGACAGACTCCAGGGTCACTTGTTTAGCGTCTGTGTAGCGCTGACTGGAAGAAGGCGGCCAGGTCGGACTTCATGCTGGGTGGAACAGCCAACACGTACTGTTATGTGCCATGGTACTGGCCCCAGGCCCAGTGGCTTATCCACAGCATCTCATCTGTCCGTGTAACAGCCCCTGTGTGTAACTGCTTCTCGCCTTGTTTCACAGGTGAGGGAGGGGAGGCACCGCGAGTTTAGTAGCTTGCCCACGGTCACACAGCTCTCAGTGGCGGCACTGAGCCCACCAAGGCAGGCGGGCTCGGGTCTGGGCTGCGGAGCCCTGGCCACCAAGGGAAACTTCAGACAGCCCAGGGAAAGTAGAATTAACAGATAAATTTATTCTGGAGCAGACCATGTGAAATCCGTGCCTAAGAGCAGTCTTCAGGGAGTTCAGGGACAATGCATATGATGCAAAAAATCTGAGCATGGATTTCAATTTTTTTTGCATCAGAATAAGTCTCTTTGAATTCTATTTTCTATGACGTTTTTGAAGTTCGCTTGTATGGTCTCTAGATGCACTGTAAGCCTTTGTCACAAAAGCTATGCATAATATATGATAATATTATCTACATATATTCCTTAGGCTCAAAGACCTATCTCTTAAGTGAACCAGTGATGGAAGATCTCTCTCTCTCTCTCTGTGTGCCTCTGCCTCTCTATAACTCTGCCTTTCAAACAAATAAATAAATCTTTTTTAAAAAAGCCCAGGCTTTGAAAGTCCTTACCTGCAGAGATCAGATGGGAAGACATAGAGGACTTCATCGCTGGTGATGAGTGGGTGAAAAGAGTCGCCATCTGTGCCATTGATCATGTTGCACTTGTCCGTGGCCCACCAGTCAAGTGCCCTGGAATGGATAAGCATGGTGGGCAGGGGGGAGGGAGGGAGAGGAGGGGAGGGGAGGTGCTGTAAGGGCTGCGCCTTCTCCAGTTTTTACCGCAGCCGGCTGTCCCCAGTTTCTGACCCACACATGGACACAGGAGTGCCAGCAGAAAAAGCAGGCCCCCACCGGAGAGGCAGCCGTGTTCCAACACGAGCACTTGGAGGCCGGTGGGTGTCTGCTGCGGGGTTCTGGCCATTAGGAATCCGTCCTCCCTCCTTCTACTAATAGCCCTGAGCTCCCTTCCTTTCTTGCACTGTGAACTGAAAGAGCAGGTCATTTTTGTCTCTGTTAAACTTGGTTGCAGACAGACAGAGAGAAAGCACCCCATCTGTTGGCTCACTCCCCAGGCACCCACAACATCCAGGGCTGGGACTGAGGGCGGGAACTCAATGCAGGTCTCCCACACAGGTGGCAGGAACTCAGTCACTTGCATCGTCACTTTTGCTGCTCGGGCCTGCATTAGTAGGAAGCTGGAGTCAGGAGCTGGAGCCAGGGCTTGAACTCAGGCACCCCGTTGCAGGATGCTGGCATTTTAACTGCTAGATCAAACACTCACACTGGATTTTAACTTTAGTGAAAGGTGTTTGTTGGAGGCTTTCATTGGTTCCATCCTACAGAATGCTATAATAATGAACCCAAGTGCATTTCATCTTCAGATGAAAATATATCTGGGGATGGAGTTGTGGCACAGTGGGTTAAGCCGCAGTCTGCAATGTCAGCATCCCATGTGGGTGCCGGTTCAAGTCCCGGCTGCTCCACTTCCAGTCCAGCTCCCTGCTAATATGCCTGGGAAAGCAGAGGGAGATGGCCCAAGTGCTTGGGCCCCAACACCCATGTGGGAGACCCAGATGAATCTCCTGGCTCCAAGTGCTCTCTCTCACTCTCTGTAACTCTGCCTTTCAAATAAATAAATCCTTAAATAAAATACACCAAAAGTCCAAAAAATTGGAATTAAATTAAAGGAGAACCTCTCCCTTGCATCCTTCAAAGAAGTAATGGCTTGCAAAGCATGTTCATCTGCTACACATTGTTCCATGATCGTTTTGGATGAGAGACTTTTCACTGTCTGTAGTAGTCCACACCTGGACATAAGCCTACAAATAATTAATATTTAATTTACCAGGTGTATAGCCACCAATCTGATTTGTAAAATTGTAACTACAATACTAATTACATATTTATACTTTTCATCAAAAAATGAGTGCTAAAAATTTTTTAGACAATGCAGAGGTAACTATTCAGCTTAATTTTAAAAATTGGAAAAAAATCAAACTGATAAATCATTAGACTTACGTTTTTCCATTCCATTCCACAATCTTTGTAAAGTTAAGGTAACTGTCTTCTCCGGTGAGGAACACATAGTCTCCGTCATTAGTCCCGTTTTTCTGAAAATAGGTGAATACGGTCACTTTACAGCGAGGTGGTGGCGGGGTGCCCTGTTGTTTGGCCAAACACCAGTCTAGACGTGGTGGGAAGGCATTTCTCGCGTGACTACATCTACCCTCAGTTAACTTCCGTACAGTCTCCTCAGTGACGTGTGCCTGGGCCTCGGCCAATCAGTTCAAAGCCTGGAAAGCAAAAACTGAAGTTTTCTGAGAAGCAATTCTGAAGCCTGCAACACGGAGATCCTGCCTGAGCTTCCGGCCTGCTCGGCTGCCCTGTGGGTTTCAGCCACGCCAGGCCCCACCGTCACACAAGCCGATTCCTCAATATAAATCTGTGTGTGTGCGTATGTGCAAACACACACATACATGTGTGTATAGATACATACATGTGTATGAATACACAGGTAAACTGATTAAACTCTTTATTATACTAAACACACACACACAGGATACATAGAAAAGTTTGTGGAAAACTGAATTAAAAGTACGTGAAATCCATGCACAAACAGGGTCTTCAAAAAGTCCATGGAAATGGATACTATGAAGAAAAAACTATGTATAACTCAAAATAATTGCATCAATTCTGCTTCCAAGAGAACCCAGACTGATACAGTAACTAATTTAATCTTCATGAAACTAGTTGCTATTTGAGATTGAACAGGACTAGGCAACACAATGACTATTTTGCTAAACACCATATCAACTATGTGATTTATTTATTTATTTTTATTTTATTTTTTATTTATTTGAGAGTGTTAGAGAGAGAGGCAGAGATCGAGAGAGGTCTTCCATCCGCTGGTTCATTCCCTAGATGGCCACAAGGGCCAGAGCTGAGCTGATTTGAAGCCAGGAGCCAGGAGCTTCTTCTGGGTCTCCCACGTGGGTGCAGGGGCCCAAGGACTTGGGCCAAATTCTACTGCTATCCCAGGCCATAGCAGAGAGCTGGATTGGAAGTGGAGCAGCCGGGATTAGAACCAGCGCCCACATGGGATGCCAGCACTTCAGGCCAGGGTGTTAACCCATTGCGCCACAGTGCTGGCCCCTAACATCATTAGTCTTTCGGAAAATGCACATCGCTCCTCAAGGAGATACTGCTTCACACCAAAAACCCTTCTTCCTCTTCCCTCTCCCATTCCCACTCCCGATTTTTACAAAGATCTACTTGGTTTACTTAGTGATTGTAAGGTTAACCCTACAGTAAGTAAAAGAGCTCAACAAATGGTATATTTAAAAAATCCAATATTGTTCCTCAACAGAAGAGACAAGCTGTAAACAATCATGGAATCTCAAAATGTGCACTGCACTCCAACACACTACATTTTAGGTACTCCACCAGTTACCAAGGATCAGGGAAAACATATGATATCTGTCTTTCCGGGACTGGCTTATTTCACTTAAGCACAATGGTTTCCAGTTGAGGATGACACTTTTTTTTTTTTTTTTTAAAGGAAGGGGCTGGTGTTGTGGTGCAGCAGGTTAAGCCACTGCTGGCGTCCCCTATCAGTGTACTGTTACTGTCCCAGATACTCTGCTTCCGACCCAGCTCCCTGCTAAGGTGCCTGGGAAAGCAGTGGAGGATGGCCCAAGTGCTTGAGCCCCTGCTACCCCGGGGGAAAACCCAGATGGAGCTCTGGGCTCCTGGCTTCTTCTGGCCTAGCCCTGGCCTATTGTCACCATTTGGGGAGTGAACCAGCAGATGGAAGACCTCTCTCTCCCTCTTTTCTGTTACTCTTTCAGATAAATAAAATAAGTCTTTTTTAAAAAAATAAAGGGGGGGGGTCTGCATTATGGCACAGCGGGTGAAGCCACTGCCTGCAATGCTGGCACCCCATATGGGCACTGGTTCATGTCCTGGCTGCTCCATTTCCCATCCAGCTCCCTGCTAATGTCCTGGGAAAGCAGCAGAAGATGGCACAAGTTTGGGTCCCTGCCACCCATGTGAGACCCAGGTGAAGCTCTTGGCTCCCTCTTTTGGCTATCTCTCTCTCGAGCTCCCTCTCTCTCTGTAGTGCTTTCAAATAAATAAATAAATAAATTTTTAAGTAAGATAAAATAAAAAATAGAAGGAAAATGACAAGGATTAGGAAGTGGAGACACTGGGAGCTTTAGACACTGCTGGTGGGCATGTAAAAATGTGGCTGCTGAGAATCACGGCTGGAGTTCCTCAAAAAGATATGCAGAATCCACGGGATCCCCACGTCCCCAGCCTTATCTTCCAAAAGCTCAGAGAAAATGTACATTGTATTTTAAGTTTTAATTTCCTATGAACGTCTTAAAGTACTCTTGTAAAATCCAAGAGAACTCCACTCTGAGACATCTGCCCAGTGTTTTAGCAGCACTAAAGTGGACATCACCCAGTGGCCTTTCAGCTGCTGGACAGAGGAGCAAAAACACAAGCACGTGTCCTTTCAACGGGTACTGCTCAGTAGCAAGGACAAATGAGGTACTGACGCATGGTACCAGGTGGGTGAGCCCCCAAAACATTACACCGAATTTAAGAAACAAGACACAAAGGGTCACATATGGAATGATTCTGGTTACATGAAATGGCCTAAACAGGCAAATCCTTCGAGACAAAAACTAGATCAGTGGCTGTCAAAAGCTGGAGGGGGCGCAGTGAGAGGAAAGGGCGTGATGCTAGTGGGGAGTGGCTTCTTTAGGGATGATGAAATTGTTCCAGAATTAGATAGGAGTGGTGGTGGTTGCCAAGCCTTGTGAATATACTAAAAACCACTGAATTCTACATTTTAAAATGGTGAATATTATGCTAAGTGGATTATATCTTAATTAAAAAAAACCTAGGGGCAGGTATTATGGCTTAGTGGATAAAGCTGCTGGCTGCAGTGCCAGCATCCCATATGGGTGGCGGTTCAAATCCCAGCTGCTCCACTTCCAAACCAGTTCCCTGCTAATGGCCTGAGAAAGCAGTGGAAGATGGCCCAAGTGCTTAGGCCCCTGCCATCCATGTGGGAGACCCAGAAGGAGCTCATGGCTTCAGCCTGGCCCAGCCCTGACCATTGTAGTCATTTGGGTGAGTGAACCAGTGGGTGGACCATCTCTATCTCTGTCTCTCTCTCTCTGTAACTCTGCCTTTCAAAGAAAACAAATTTTTAAAGAAAAAAGTCAACACTAGGGTCCAACCCTATAAAAACAGCTGCACCACTGGGACTAACTTAGTCCTGTCTTCAGTGAAGGTCTCCTCAGTTGTAGATTGTCTCTGAGTTACATTTTGCACGGGCACACACAGACCCTATACATTTGTCCAAAAGCTTTCCATGGGGACGGAGCTACAATTTCTGGGAACCAGTATGGGGCCCAGCTGCTCAAGAACAATCAAGCCATGGGCACTAACAACTGAGAGCAGGTGCGCCTGGATTGAGGCTGAGGCCAATCCTGGTGAACTCATCGCGAGCTGAAACAATCCTGCATGGAAATTTGCTGACTCGCACAGAAGAGAACAGCACGCAGCCGAGAACTGGGGGTCGCCTCATGCAGTCTCAGTGCTGACCGGGAGCAGGGCTCGCCGACGCTGCCCCGCATGACATAAGGGGATCAGACCACCCGCCCAGGAAAAGACCAAACTTCAACACTCAAAGTCTGATTTCTTTCTTTTTTTTTTTGACAGGCAGAGTGGACAGTGAGAGAGAGACAGAGAGAGACAGAGAGAAAGGTCTTCCTTTACTGTTGGTTCACCCTCCAATGGCCACTGCGGCCGGCGCACCACGCTGATCCGAAGCCAGGAGCCAGGTGCTTCTCCTGGTCTCCCATGGGGTGCAGGGACCAAGCACTTGGGCCATCCTCCACTGCACTCCCTGGCCACAGCAGAGAGCTGGCCTGGAAGAGGGGCAACCGGGACAGAATCTGGTGCCCCGACCGGGACTAGAACCCGGTGTGCCAGCGCCGCAGGCGGAGGATTAGCCTAGTGAGCCACGGCGCTGGCCTCAAAGTCTGATTTCTACTGCAGGTGCATGGCTCTCCCGCCATGTGATGGTTGAGGAATCCTCAATGGAACAGTTCCTAAGTTGGGGGCCATCTGTATTCATGCCATTCCTGGCCCTGGGCTAAGATGTGTGCCTGAATTAGCTCATGTCACTCTCACAGCGTCGGTCTCAGACAGTGTGGTCCTATGATGGTTTCAATGATGCTAAACACAAACAAGCAAGGCCTACAGTGAAAAGCATCTGAGGAATACTGAGAGAGTAGCAAGCAGATCCACGTGGCAGAAGGATGGAGACCTGTGGGACAGAAAGGGCCACGAGGGAACCTCTGTATGGCTCTGTGGGAGGCACTCCCGGAGAGGTTTCTGGAAGGGAGGTGTGGTCACAGCTTAATCAGACCCCTGTGCTCGCTCAGGTCCAGAGGAAGCTGCATCCCGAGACCCGACCTTCCTGGGAACATCTCTCCAGGCTGCTCCCCAGAGTGAAGGATTTAAAGTCACAGAGACTCCACGTTTAGGACCCCTGCCTCTTGCATAGATAATACTTAAAAACTTGCTTACAGAACTGGCATTGTGGTGCAGCGGGTTAAGTTACCACCTGGGACGCCAGCATCCTGTATCAGAGCACTGGTTTGAGTCTTGGCTGTTCTACTTCTGATTCAGCTCCCTGCTGATGCACCTGGAAAAGCAGTAGGAGACGGCCCAAGTACGTGGGTTCCTGTTACCCCTGTAGGAGTTCCAGGCTCCTGGCTTCAGCCTGGCTCAGGTTGGGCTGTTGCAGTCGTTTGGGGAGTGAACCAGTGGATGGAAGATCTCCTGCTGTCACTTTGCCTTTCAGATAAATCTTTTTGTTTTTAAACTTGCTTACAGTTTTGTTTGAAAAGCAAGTATGCCCTTGAAGGCAAAGGCACAGAACCGCAACCATTTACCATGGAGGAACACAAATGCTAAGGCGTTAGTTGATGAGAGTAAGACCGCTAGACAGGCAGAGCCAGAAAATGGCTACAAACTTAGAGATGAGCAAGCTCACCACATTCTCACCGCCTACCCCTAACCTACCCTTAGTTCCTGAGATGTGTCTTTAATCAAACTTCCAACTACCCGTTTTCCTCCAGTTTTTATTTTCTACAAAAACTCACGTTCTTATTTCCTATATACTCTATAAAACATCTAGAACTTGAGGCAATTTTAACGTTCTCCTAGGAAAAACTCAAAGATAAGGTGCACCCTGGGGGCAGGCATCAGAGCAGAGCAGCAGGCAACACACTGCTTGGAATGGCTGCAGCCCATTTCAGAGCACCTGAGTTCAAGTCCCGACTGATTCTCATCCAAGCTTCCTACTGACGTGCGCCTTGGGAGGCGGCAGGTGATGGCTGTCACCTGCTTGGGTCACTGTTACCCGCATGGGAGACCTTGATGGAGTTCCTGGCTCTTCACTGTGGTCTGTTCCAGCTCTGGCTGTTGTGGGTATTTGGGTAGTGAACCAGCAGATGGGTAGTCTGTCTGTCTCTCTGCCTTTCAAATAAATGGAAGGAAGAAAGGAAGCAAAGAAAAAAGATAAGGAAGGAAGAGTAGAGGGATGGAAAGGAGAGAATGAGGAAGAGAGAAAGGAGGAAGGAAGTTAAAGAAAGATGACACCCAGTGTGGATGCCTAGTCTCACCACCAGCTCAGCAAAGAGGCCCCGCGAAGAAAGCTCACTTACCCCGTAGAACAGGCCGAAATAGGGGGAGATGTCAGATCGGAAAACGTGGATGAGGGACAGGATCTCGTCTTTGTAGCCCCACAGCAATTCGTCCACCGTGTGCGTCACAAAGAGCTTCTGCTGGTAGGCTTTCAGCATGGCCTCCACGATCTCCCGGAGGAGGGGGTTCTGGGCCAACTCTATGACAGTCTGAGGAGCAAAGCAAGTCAGCACAGCAGCATCGCCTGCAAGGCCCCCGTCCCCTGCACGGCCCCCGTCCCCTGCTCAGTCCCCTGTCCCCTGCACGGCCCCCTGTCCCCTGCACAGCCCCCGTCCCCTGCACGGCCCCCCGTCCCCTGCACGGCCCCCATCCCCTGCACGGCCCCCCGTCCCCTGCACGGCACCCCGTCCCCTGCACAGCCCCCCCATCCCACTCTGCTATGACCCTCCCTCAGCAAAGCGGCTGGAAACTTAGATGTAAATGTTGGGATTAAATAGGCGACCAGTCAGCCGGCCAGCTCCTCCCTGACTGCAGATACTGTCCTTTGTCACAGCACGTTTGGTCAGGGCAGGCTCACAGGCCCACTTTCAGGCTCTGAGTTAACCAAACAGTGCAGCAGGAAAAGCTCTTGTAAACGCATTGGCATCGCTGACCACAAGGTGGCGCCACCTCCCTCCTGCGCCGGCAGGAAGCGGGCCGTGGGGGTAGGCCTTATTATAAACCCACAAGGTGCAGGGTGGGTTAGATCTGGGCTCCATCAGCAGTGTCCAGCTGTTCTGGAGCTGTCACCCAGGAGTGGGAGGAGCCTCAGAAGAGGCTGGCGTCGGTGAAGTTTCCTGGGTCTCGGTACAAAGGTGAGGGATGGGAGTTATGAGTTGGCCTTGCTGTCGCACACAGAGCCCAAGGGAATCGCAGTAGGCTATGATTCTACTGGAAAAGTTCAGCTTATGCATTTTGAAAATCAAAATCCAAGGGAGAAATCAACCGAGAGGTGGCATGCAAATTCTCCTAGAATTTCTGAATCCAAATAAGGGGCAAATAAATGTTTTAAATTATTAGCTACCAAAAATGTCCTAGGGACACGTGTATGTGCAAAAGTGCTAATCCTGAACACTCAGGAAGAAACTGTGGAAACAAGTCCTAAAATCCACATTTCCTCATCATTTAAAAAGCCCTTGTTTGATAGACCTCAGAAAAAAATGTCTAAGATGAATGTTAATGAAAGAAAAGTGTATTTTTCTTTTTATATATTTTAACATAACATACTAGCTGTTAAACTAAAAACCATACTAGCCTTAACTTAGTTTTTCCTTTTCCTCTAAAATCTACAATAATGATACTAAAATGCCTACTTACCAAGACAGGAATATTTAATGTCCTAATTAAGTCAATTTTAGGGTCTCCGACAGATTGGTTTCGTTCAAACACATAGGCCTTGTTGCTAACAGCAGATATTGTTGTTCCATTATCTCCAAACTGAATGTTTGCTTTGTTTCTGAGCTCCCTAAAAAAAAAAAAAAAAGATCTTATTTGAAAATAGGCACCACTGTAATTAGCAAGACATAATTTTCCTTTGGTTCAGCATCAAAGTTATATTTTCAATATAACATTCTCAGTACAGCCATTATTTAGAGAGACCACAGATGCTAAGTCCTCAACAACTGGAGATTAAGGCTATACTTGTGGGAAGGAAATGAGGCCCAGGATGGAATCTTCTCAAAGAATGCTTTCATTCTTGTCCTTTACAACCTGAGAGGCACTTCAAGGGTCACCTTGGCCAAGGAACCAAGTCTGTGACCTTGCCCCTGGGTTATGGCTTGGTCCTTGCATGAATTCCATTTGAATGTCAATCGTCTTACCAATGACTTTTTCTTTCTTTTTTGAGAGGCAGGGAATGAGAGTGAGAACTTCCACCTGCTGGTTCACTCCCTAAATGCCAGCAACAGCTAGGGCTGTGCCAAGCAGAAGCCAGGAGGTAGGGACTCAATGCAGGCCTACCACATGGGTGGCAGAGACTCGCCTACTTGAGTAGGAGGCTACATGTTACTGAGAAGCCAGAACTGGGGTGGGACCTGGACGAAAGACAAGCACTCCCATATGGGACGTGGGCATCGGAACTGCTAGGCAAAATGCCTCCCTCGCCCTTTGATTGTTAACTCGAATTCAGTTGAAAACTCATTTAAAAACTTGATGCCCGTGGGGGCCAGGGCTGTGGTGCAGTGAGTTAAGCCGCCACTTGTGACACTGACATCCGGTATCAGGGTGCTGGTTGGAGTCTCAGGTCCAGCTCCCTGCTGGTGCCACTGGGAAGGCAGCAGATGACCAAGAACTCGGGTCCCTACCACTCCTGGGAGACCTGGAGGGAGTTCCTGGCTCCTGGCTTCGGCTTGGCCCAGACCTGGTTGTTGCAGTCATTTGGAGAGTGAACCAGAAGAAGGAAGATCTCTCCCTACCTCTCTCTGTAACTCTGACTTCAAATAAACAAATACATCTTAAAAAAGAAAGAAAGAAAAGATAATGAGATCATGGCTACTCCGAATTGAGAGGCTGTAAGTGCAAAACAAACGCCAGGATTCAGAAACAATATAAACAACGTAAATGTCTCCTTAACTTTTTTATATTGATTACTTTGAAATCATGCTAGCTGAGATACAATGGGTAAAATAAGAATATGTGATTAAAATGAGTTTCGTCTATTCCCTTTTACTTTTTTGGATGTGGTACTGGAAAAATCTTAAATTACCAAGGAGGCTCCTGTAATGTTTCTGTTGCCCAGAGCTCAGCCAGGGGCTTACAGCACAGATCCAGGCTGGGAAGGCCTTTGGCGGCGGCTGCCCTCTGCGCCCTCTCTGTGCCTGTGTCAGTCACAGCAGCATGTAGGGGCCTTGCTCGCCCACCTGTGGAGTCTGCAGTCCATGTGTAAACTGCTGAGTGATGTCAGTTGGCTTGGGAAGGGCCACCATGTAACCACAGGTAGGACTGCACGCAAGCTAAGGGTGAAACTGGCAATGTTCTTCCGGGAAGGGTGGGTGTTCGGCACAGCAGTTAAGATGCCACTCAGGATGCCCACGTCCCATATCAGAGGGCCGGGTTCAAGTTCTGGCTCTGCTTGGGGCTGTAGCTCCCTGCTAATGTGCACCCTGGGAGGCAGCTGGTGATGGCTCAAGTAGTTCTGTCCCTGCCATAGATGTGGGAGACCTAGACTGAGTTCCCAGCTCCTGACTTCAACCTGGCTCAGCCCTGGCCATTCTGGGCATTTGGTGAGTGAAAGAGTGAATGGGAAATCTCTGTCTCACACACACACACACACACACACACACACACCTATCTCTTTTTCTGTCTACCTTTCAAATAAACAAATGCAATAACAATAGAGAAGAAAATAATAAATGCATACATACAGATACATAAAAATAAACGGGCCTTGGGACCTTCTATGGCACCAAGCACCAAGCTATGTCTAGTATTCAGGGCAACACCTGACACTGCCATGGCTCGGCAAAGGGCTGAAGGCACAAGATTTCGTGTTGTTTCACTTAATCCTGCCAGCCGGCCCGTGGTAAAACAGAGCAAGTGTCACGGTCTCACTTCCTCGGGGCCTGGAAGAGCGGCAGAAGGGCCACTCTTTCCTGAGCAAATGGAGACCCAAGACCACCAGGAAGTATCAGAACCAGGTTTAAAATCTTGGTCCCCAGACCCGACACACAGAAGGGGAGACAACGAGACTCGTGAGGTGTGGGGAGCAACTGGGACTAGACTAAGTTACTGGAATTAAGACTTATTCTATGCATCTGCTCTCCCACAATATGGCGCTGGGAGAGGAGAAAACAACTTCTACACAGCTGCCTCTCGCCAATTTGACTGATAAGCTGCAGGAGCCGATCCTGCTCCTGATTGGAGGAGAGCAGCGTACTTGGCGTGTGGGTAGCAGAGTTGGGATTGGTGGAAGAGGACTATAAAGGAGGAGAGAGACAACATGCACCAGGAACATCTGGATAACATCTGAGCAGCCCCCGAGAGAGCCGGCCGGCGGTGTGCCGCTCCCCCGCGGAAGTGGGGAAAGTGGTAGGGGGAGCCGCCCCTCCACAGAGGTGGAGGGGTCGGCAGCCAACCAGGGAAGGACCAGCAGCAAACCCGGGAAGGGCCGAGCAGACAAAAGAACAGCGCAGGGTCCTGTGTTGTTCCTCCGTGAATGGGGGAGCGACAGTGAGGGTGTGGAGGAGGAGAGGAGGTTTCATGGCGGAGCCCTGGCTCAGCCAAGGCCGGTGCATGCAGAAAGGGAACAACCAGTCCTGGTCCTCTCCCTGTGCGCGGCGCCTGCTGAAGAGAGGGCCTGGAGGGGCCCCGTGTCTTCAGAGGCAGGCTGCTTCTGCACGCTGAGCGCTCTGCCTCGGCACATGCGTGCCCAGCGAGAGCACCTGGCTAGTGCACCCGGCCAGTGCACCGCTCAGGGAAGAGAAGCAGGAAAAAGCGCCCCCACGGTGAACACCTATTCACACGTAGACAAAGTTCCAGCCCAGGACACCAAGGCCTGGGACTCAAGAGTAGGCGCAAACCCAGGAACCCACCTGGCTGAGTTTCAGACCAGTATCAGCAGTCCGTGACCTGGCTCTGTCTTACTCTTTGTTCTCTTTTCCCAAGCCGAGGTAGTGAACCCAGAAGCCTGAGCCATCCCAAGCCTACGGCCTCTTTCATTTATGCTTCTTTCTGTTTATTGACTCTGAGAGGATTTTTTTTTTTTTTTTTTATTTTTTGACAGGCAGAGTGGACAGTGAGAGAGAAAGGTCTTCCTTTTGCCGTTGGTTCACCCTCCAATGGCCGCCGCGGCCAGCGCGCTGCGGCCGGCACACCGCGCTGATCCGATGGCAGGAGCCAGGAGCCAGGTGCTTTTCCTGGTCTCCCATGGGGTGCAGGGCCCAAGCACCTGGGCCATCCTCCACTGCACTCCCTGGCCACAGCAGAGAGCTGGCCTGGAAGAGGGGCAACCGGGACAGAATCCGGCGCCCCAACCGGGACTAGAACCCGGTGTGCCGGCGCCACTAGGCGGAGGATTAGCCTAGTGAGCCGCGGCGCCGGCCCTCTGAGAGGATTTTTAAAATGTTTTCCTGGTGGTGTGGGGAGCAGGGTCTGTCTCCCGCAACATGGCGGGGAGCCCGGGAGACAAATAAGTACTGAGACTGTGTACTGAAACTAACTCTATGTGTCTGATCTCCCACCATAAGGCGCTGAGAGGGAGTAAACAAATCTTACACAGCTGCTTCCTTAATTAGCTGATTCCTGACCCAACCTCTGATTGGAAGAAAGCAGCGTGCTCAGCACGTGGGTAGCAGAGCACGCATTGGTGGGAGAGGACTATAAAAGGGGGAGAGAGACAACATGCAGGGCCCCCTCTGAGGGAGTCGGCCGGAGAGCTCGCCAGTGCTGCTCCTCCGCGGAGGCGGGGGAGCGGCAGCAAATCCGGGAAGGACCGGGGAAAGAAAACAGCATCCGGTGTCGTTCCTCCGCGAGTGGGGGAGCGACAAGTGGTGCTGTGACTCGGATATGGACGGGAGGAGGAAAGCCGGAATAATAGTCATTCGCTTAAACAACAGCGTCTGGTCCGGTGTCATTCTCCCACGAGCCCGCGGAGGAGTGACAGGGTGGGTGCTTAACAGTGATTAAGATATCATGGCGAAGGCCGGCGCCCGGCTCACTAGGCTAATCTAATCCTCCGCCTAGCGGCGCCGGCACACCGGGTTCTAGTCCCCGTCGGGGCGCCGGATTCTGTCCCGGTTGCCCTCTTCCAGGCCAGCTCTCTGCTGTGGCCAGGGAGTGCAGTGGAGGATGGCCCAGGTGCTTGGGCCCTGCACCCCATGGGAGACCAGGAAAAGCACCTGGCTCCTGGCTCCTGCCATCGGATCAGCGCGGTGCGCCGGCTGCAGCGGCGGCCATTGGAGGGTGAACCAACGGCAAAGGAAGACCTTTCTCTCTCTGTCTCTCTCACTGTCCACTCTGCCTGTCAAAAAAAAAAAAAAATATATATATATATATATCATGGCGGGGGGCAGTACTATGGTGTAGTGGATAAAGCTGCCACCTGCGATGTGGGCATCCCATATTGGGACCAGTCAAGTTCCGGCTGCTCCACTTCCGATCCAGCTCCCTGCTGTTGGCCTGGGAAGAACAGCAGAAGATGGCCCAAGTGCTTGGGCCCCTGTACCTACCACGTAGGAGACTTGGATGAAGCTCCTGACGCCTGGTTTCGGTCTGGCCCAGCACTGGCTGCTGCAGCCATCTGGGGAGTGAACCAGTGAATGGGAGATTCTCGTTCTCTCTGTCTCTACCTCTCCCTCTGTAACTCTGGCTTTCAAATAAATAAAAATAAATCTTGAATAAAAAAATCATTGGGACATCTGCATCCCATATTGGAGTGTCTGGGTTCCACTCCCAATTCCAGCTCTCTGTTAATGTAAACCCTAAAAGTACCAGGTGACGGCCGGAGTAGTTGGGTCTCTGCCACCCATA